CTGTTTGTTTGTTTTGTTACCACTAAATGAAGCTATATTTAGGGCATGGCCCCAGAAATCCCTGAGGATCTCTACCATCTCATCAAGAAGGCGGTGTCTATCCGAAAGCATCTTGAACACTCTCGCAAGGACATTGACAGCAAGTACAGACTGATTCTTGTCGAGTCCCGAATCCATCGTCTGGCTCGTTATTACAAGACTAGCCGTCAACTTCCAGCGACTTGGAAATACGAGTCAGCCTACCGCTGCCTCGCTTATCTCATAAAGTTGTTTTTGTGATTGTTTGTTATAAATTGTTGAGTATATTCTTTTTTGTGTGCCCATGAAGGGAAGAATGGGAAATTCGGCGCATTTTGACTAGTGGGGCATTTCGCTGGTACCAACCCATTACTGCCACTGCATCCTGGTAAATCCTGTAAATCTATGCATAGCATGGGCTTGGTTACACTTGGACAAGCGTTTACAAGTCCCTACCAAGACGAGACGGAGTTAACAGAAATTAGAAGGAGAAAAGAGCGGAACAGGAATTCGGACCCCTTTCTAAGCCGAACAGCATCGAAATTCTGGTCAGTATCGGGTTGTCGTCCATTCTCGGAATACTTGGCAAACATGGCGGCTGGGGGCAGAAACACAAATTTCCCAGACTAGGGAATTCTCGAGGGCCAGAAACAGTATGCAAGAGATCTATGAGCGATTTGTGTTTGATTGAATACATCAAATAGGCGTGGAGTGCTTTTTTTCCTCACGAATGGTGAAACTCGTCCCCAATGGGTAGAGTTGGCGATGGTTACCATGACGACCGGGAAGAGAATAGGCACAAATGTCGACGCTAGCATGCTACTGCGGCAGATGTCCTCCTAATTTTCGGCAATGAAGGTAATTTTAATTCGCTTGATTACTGTGTCTTATGAAGGGGTCTTCTATTATCGATTTTTCGCCGGTAATCCGCTCAGTCTGGAAAGTGGCACTGAGTAAACTGCTAGATATCTTTTACTGCATTTAGGGCTGGCTACTTGCACATTGTAAATAGTTGAGGTTATTTGGGGCATCCTTGAAAACCAGTTCCCTGGAACTGCTTGCGGGGAGATCATTCAAAGGACTTGTATCACTAGACTCGAGAAAAAAAATCCTTCTCCCCTTTGTGGAACACTACTTTTGCGGAAGAATCCTTTGAATGGATCCGCTCCAAGAAGAACGGCGCCAAGATCCCTTCACTAGGAGCCCAGAAAAGTGGATGGCCTCTATCTCTGATGAAGGCGGACCTCAGTCGTATAGGTCTCAAACATCTACAGATATTGAGAACAAACTTATGTGAGCCTGGAAGGGTTGGGCAAGCATTCATAGTTTGGCGTTGAGGGGCCAATGGCTGGTTTCTCCTCTGTCATGACATGTGGGAGCGCTATGTCTGTTTGTGCTTCTTATCTTTCACATCATAGTGAGCTTCTTGGAGCAGGTTCTCGTGTTTTCATCGGGCTATTTCGTATTTTGCGCCATACTAAAACGCGTTATTATTTTCGATAGACGGTATCTATTTTTTTGTGGCGCTATGAACCTCAAGGCTCACAGACCCTTGTTGGGTCGAGATATTCTGTGGTTCTTGGAATGATAAAAATGTCGGAGAAATAGA